AGATACCTAGGGTAAAGAGATTGACATAGTAACAGGCTTCTCTAAAACATACACAATGCAAGAAAATGCTCTCCGAAAAGAAATATATATATATATATATATATATATATATATATATATATATATATATATATATATATATATATATAAAATATTAGGGAAAACTGCAGAGGTCACTTTAATTTGAATACGAACGAGAGGGCAAAAACATCCAACATCCTAATATTCTTATGTGTACACAGTATTTTGTAAATTTGATTAGGAAGAATATTTTTCAAGTAATGGAAATAACTTGACACTTTGCAAAACAAAGCTTTCCTTGGAGACATCTGACTCACACGCTATCTGTTACCCTATTCCCATCCGTACCTTTGAGCGATGAGCCTGAGCTCGTTAGTCAGAACGTTAGCATCAGATGTTATGCCTGCCACACTGCAAGCCATGTCCCTTGAAGGAAAAAAGGAAAAAGCCACTGTAAGCAGGGAAAGATGCTTGACTTGTAAGTGGTGAGAAGCACTTGCACCTGTTAGGGATTCACCAGCTCTACCCCACAGTGACTACCTGCAGGGAAAAGGCTATCCAAGTGCGATCTTCTTAGATGTTTACCTAATGTCATTTAGCATAAATGATATGTGAATGCAGCCCCAATTCTCCCACAGATGTATTTATTCCTGTCCTCTAGAGACAGGGCAAGTGGAGGAAAACTAAGCAGCTAAAGTAGAAACCAAAGAAAAAAGGTTTTGTTGGGTAGATAAGACACTCCCACTCTTCGGGGTGTAACTTTCAATGACTGGGCTGACAGGTTGGGGTGAGGGGACACATGGGTGGGGGGAGTTCAGAAGTTGTCTAGGCATGCACTCCCTTTTCTGCCTGTTCCCCAAAGCCTTCCCTGGCTCTCTACAATCTAGACATCCACTTTGATTATGCTGAAACAAGCCCACAGGTTGCTGAGTAAAGACTAAGTGATTGTGGAGGTAAGGGTCAAGTGAGTGTACCTAAGGCCCCATGGGAGGTACCAGGCCCATGCAGGGAGTACATTTCTATGGCTAATTAACCAGACACAGAACCCAACTGCCTTCTAAACTCCTCTACTGTTATAAAAATAGATCCCAGCTTTAACCAGAGAAGCCTCAACTTACAATGAATGCTGTAAGTGCAAAGAATCGTGGTTGCCCATGATACAAAAATAAATGACAGTTGTGGGACATCCCTAAAGAAGTCGCTTAAACCATTCCCTCAAAGGCTTATGAACACTGGAAAGGGGCTGGCCACTATGTTAAGAGTACAAAGACAGAGTAAAGGGCTGCAAAGCACCACACTCTAGACCCTACAACTAAAATCATGAATTCACAACTGGTTTGGGCACAGACAAGACCAGCCCTCTTAAGAAGTGGCTCATAGGATCCTACCTTTTAGATCAGAACTATTGGCTCTTGATAAATTCTGGGAGTCTCCCTGTCCCTGGTTATGTGCCCACTGCTGAGCCCAGCCGACTCTAACAGACAGCTCTCAACCCATGGTCACACAGAAGGCCCTGGCAATGTCACCGAATCAAAACAGACAGACTAAACCCAAGAGCTTTGGGGAGCCAAGAAAGGGAAATGGAAATGGCGGTACAGGATGTGTGAGCGGTCAGTCTGCATGGTGTAGATGTCCAAACTGTAACAGAGAGTCAATGAAGCATGCAGGGCCACTGAAGGCGGCCTGTGCAGCAGTCGGGCCTCCACTAACAACAGCGTTCCACGTACCAAACTCAACAGAAGTCAGACTGCACCGTGCGGCTGAGCTGAGCCCACATCTCCTCAAGCCTTTTTCTTTGGTAAAGAATCAGTGTAAGTCTACAGAATCACTGCACAGTTCTAAACAATAATTTGAGGGCCTGCTTTATGCTAGGCTCTCACTCATTTTTTTTTTGTTTCATTAGATTTCCACAACCACTCTGAATCCTCAAGATATTAAACAATAGGTACAACATCACACCTCGTATTGATGGACCACAAAAGTACATATTTCATCACTGCACAAAGCTATTTTGTGCTAAGTGCCTAGCTTTGCACTTAAAGTGAATTATACACACACCGAACATACTGAAAAATAATACAATAAATGGGCTTCAATGAGGTTCCAAGCAAAATAAAGCAAACACACAAATTTGCACAAGAAAAAAAAAACTGCTCACTTCATTTCTACCATCTCACATAAAAGACCTCTCCCTCAAATACGCAAATCCTACTTATGTTGAAAAGTGCGACAGTTCAAACCCTTCCCCAAGATCTCACTTACTCATTAAGCTTATAAATTTTTTCAGAAAAAAAGACTTCATCAAGAAGCTTGTGGATGTTGCGTCTCTCTGCTGCAAGCAGGACTCCATCATTGGCGAGAATTCCTAAACAGGTGCCCGCATGGCCAATAGCTTCCATGGCGTACTCCACCTGGTATAAGCGCCCTACAAAACAGCAAAACACCAAGTTTCCTCCGTGTTCTTGCACCACTGACCCAAGAGAAATCAGTGTGGCACTATCGGGTAAAATCAACTGCCCTCCTTTTACTCAACAATGCATGACATTATCAGCCTGGTCACATAGTTAATTCAAAAGTACATAAAGAATGAACTGCACTCCAAAATGTATGTAGCTAAACACTGAACCCAAGAATACAGGACTGAAACAAAACAAACCAACAAACAAGCCCAACTGTCTTTGGAGCAGGTTAAACTTTCTAATTTACCTTCTGGGGAGAATATTGTGGTCCTGGAGTCATATCTTCGAGACTGCAATGGGAAAACAGAGAGACAGAGAGATGATGCCTGCTCACTGAAAGCACCCACACATCTTACACAAAGAAATCCTGGGTTGAGTTCAGTGGGAAGAAGAGAGACACCACTCGACTCCCCCTACCCTCTTCTGTTGCATTTTTCTCACGTTAGCCTCAAACAAGCCATAACATTCACCAGGCAAAAGTTAAATGAAACGTGTCATGAACTCACCATGGCTTCTGAACTTTATGTAATTCCTGTGGGGGGGAAAAATGGGATCATTAAAATAAAAATCCTAACTTAAGAAGTAGCTTCTACTTTTTAGACGGTTTGATCCACACACCATCACTCGGCTAACACTAGCTGTGCACAGACCACTGTTGGAAACTAATACTAGAAGATGGGACAGCACAACAAGGGTCTGCTGCCGGCCCAGGCAGCCCAAGTCTGTCCTGAAGAGCTCAGAACACAGCAGCCCGGTGAGAGGGACAGAGCTTATAAAGCAACGTGGAAGGGGCACCGAGGGTGGGAAAACGGTATGGCCAGCAACTAAGTTTTTTGAGAAACCAAATCCAGAAAATGAGAGTAAACTGGAGATGGGAGAGGAAAATAAGTTGCAAAGTCTTAAGTCGAAGAGGAGGAACTGGGGAAGGGTGAAGGAAAGGACATTCCAAGTAGAACAGGCTGAGAATCTATAAAATTCAATAGGTTAATCGCTTAAGTCAGATACAGTCCTCAATTTGGGGGTGATAAACTTGGCCCTCGTTTCCGTTTCTTTGAAAGACAGCAATGGAAGCTCTGCCTTAGTAGGGGGAAAAATGGCACCTCTGAGTCCAATTCCTATGTTGCCAAATAATGGGATATCAGGAATCGAGGCTGGAAAGCTGAACAGACATCTGAAGTGTCTGCTCGCCCAGGTGAACGTCTCTCTCACTCAAGACGGCTCAATCGAAGGGCTGGGCGCTAAGACCACAGGAGCTGACAGTTTAGAAAAGTCAGGCCGAAGAGAGGCTGCGGGAAAGCTAACCTGCCGGGAGTCGGCTCCAACATGAAGGAGAAACAGAAAGGTGGCCCTGAGCACAACAGGCAGCAGGCCACGGCGGGTTTCGGATTCGACTGTGAACAAGGCTACCTCCACGCCTGGCGCCCGCGCCACAAGCTCTGGACCTTCCCCGCGGCTCCACTTTCCCGAATGGGCTCGCTGGGCCGCAAGCCGCCCCCACCCCTCGCACCGGCCCGGTGGGTCTCAGAGCCCGGGCTCGCCGTCCAGGCCGCGCGAGGATGCCCGACGGCGGCCGGTGGGGGCCAGTCCCTGGCAGGCCGGTCACCGAGGAGGCGGGTGCAAAGTCATCGTGCCCACGGCTCCTCGGTGGCGGCCGCGGGCCTGGGCCGTGGTCTCCACGCAGAGGGCCCCAGCCCGGGAGACGGCGACCTCGCCTCCGCGGGCCCCAAAAGACTGAGCCTCACCGGAGGAAGACAGGGAGGGTGCAGATCAGCGCCGCTTTAATCCGCAGGAGAAGAACCAACCCGGATGGCCAAGCATCCGCGGCGAATATGGCTTCCGCGCGTGCGCAGAACTACGAGGGGGGGCGGGGCGACGACGACGCGGAAGTCCTCCGGGAGCCGGGGCGGAGATAGTCAGCCCACGTGGACGCTGGAGAAGCACAGCCGTGGCTTAGGCTGGGGTCTGTGTTAAGAAAGACTGGAGGAAGGAGGGAAGAGCCTGTCCTGCGCCAAGCGGAACCCAGATGCCTCCTACGCTTTGCGATTCACTTTCGCTTTCTCTCCTGTACCATTCTAATGGAGGCCAGAGGAGCAGCTGCTGTATTTGGTTCGCTTACTAGTCCAGCCTGGGCCCGGAACAGTTTCCTTCGTCCTGCCTCCTAGCCTCGTTTTCTCCTTTCTCAGATCTAACCGTTTCAGTGGGATAACTTTCGTTTTAAGTTTAAGAATCCTCTTCGTCCATTTCTCCTTTCCAATCTTTCCTAGTTTTTGTCGCTTTGTTGGGGTTTGAAGAGCTAGTGGGTTAACTGTGTCTGGCTTAATACCGTAGTCCACTGGACAGGGGCAGTGTCTTCTGTGTAGGGTGCACAGATTATTGGATCTGGGTTTTTGAAAGGGGGAAGCTTAGAAATTAGTTGCATGTAGGCTGGACCTGGCCAGTACTCAGGGCCTGGTTTGCCCTGTGAATTCCAAGCCATAAGGAGATTTTCAAAATTGAGAAGAAGAAAAAAAGAACAAGTAGTAAAATATCAATATAATTCAGTATATATTTAATGTCATAAAGAAATCAGCATATTTGCATTAGGAATTTAGTGGAGAGAATCCCTATTAGCAAAAACAATCGAGAAAAACCTGCAGGGTTCCATTATATAACAGGATGAACACTGATCTGGAGTGAGTGAAACCAAAGTTTCAGCCCATTTTTCTGGTCCCCAGTTTCCTGATTAGCCAAGTTAAAGAAAAACCTTAAGTGTGAGCATCCTAAGTGTTTCACATGTGAATGATCTCATTTGTTCTGTCTCTCAATCTCTGTGTGCATGTGTGTCTTGGAAGAGGAAAGAAGAGGCAGAAGAAGTATGAGATTCTGTACTGCTTAGGAACAGATGTTACAGCCCAAAGACCTAATTTAAGATCTAAGCCTGGGCTTTCTTTTGAGTCAATTAATCCAGCTTTAAAAGGCTCTATTTCTTTATCTAAAAAATGGAGATTAATCATCAGAATATCTATGATTCTTTTCTAGATTAAATAAGGTAGTGCATGTAAGATGAGCACTGGGTTATAGCATGTACTACTGAAAAGTTAAGGAAGCCACAAAGACAGACCTCCTCCAGGTTTATTAACCTAATATCTTGACTTGTGAAAGCAGCAGAGCTCACTGACTGAGTCTGAGAAAGCCAAGCAACATGTCATGTCTCACCAATATTTTCAAGCTTGGGTAACCTGGAATGTGATCCATTATTTAGTAACTACTATGCCTTTACTATGTGGCATAGTCCATGCTAAGAGGCTGCCATAGTCTCTTACAAAACCCTCACAATTAACTATCTGGGATAGGTACAACCATTATCTTGATCTTCCAAAAAAGGAAACCAAGACAGGAGTTAAAATGCCTAGTTTGGGAAGTTTAGACAGCAGACAGGGAGATAAGGCAGGGAGGCAGACAGATAGGCTGTTACAGTATCAGGGCACACTCACACAGAGAGATACCTATTGTCGGGGTGTTGGAATGACTAGAGTTCTGGACCTGAGTGGTCTGTAGACGAATGTGCTGAGTGTGGTACGCATGCTTACAGTCCTGGCTGCTTGGTTGCATGGGGCAGGATTATTACTTAAGCTCAGGAGTTTGACAGCTTGAGTCCAGTATGGACAGCACAGTGAAATCTGGTCTTAAAACAGGAAAAACAAAACACTTATACTAAAGAGACATGAAAATAAATTAGTAAAGGAAATACTGAGGTAAAATTTAAGCCAAATATGCAATGAGCTTCATTTCACTAATTTTACAGATTTCTATAAAGAGCAATTACAGGCTGGCATGTGGCATATGCCCTTAATCCCAGTGGGATTCTAGAGAGGTGAGATCAATGAGTTCCTAAGAGTTATGTGTGTGTAGGCTAGGTATTTAAAATATGTGAATTATTTCAAATATGTGAATATAGCTATACATCTGTATTCTTTTCAGTTTTAAAGTAATTGATTTAAGGACTGGAATAGGCCTTCGGAGACTGATTACAAATCAAACATCATCACGTATGTTCCTGTTTTGTTTTGTTTTATTTTCTTTCTGAGACAGAGTTTCTCTGTGTAGTCCTGGCTGTCCTGGAACTCACTCTGTAGCCCAGGCTAGCCTTGAACTCAGAGATCTGCCTGCCTTCCAACCATGGCCTGGCTATCATGTTTTTTATAAAAGGCAAGCAAGACCTGCACAAAGACATGCTCACTTGTGCCTATGTCTTTCTTTTCTGTGGTGTTGAGGATGAGCCCAGGGCCTTCCATGCTAGGCAAATGCTTCAGGTAGAACTTTCTTAAGTGTAAAAGATGGTCCTAAGATTGCTGTAAAAACCAGACCTTTCTTTGCCTCTTCATATTTAGAGTGGACCTGTTTTATCATTTTAGTTTTAACGCTGCATGAAAATCCTTCATAAATTTGATCTGAGCCCAGCTGAGTTTTAATTGCCAAAGGAAATACAAACTTTTCTCTGGTCACATGGAGATTCCAGATTCATAGGACTTGGCAGTTTCAAACCAGATTTCTTCTATGGCTTTCTGGCCCATGTCAAACATCTGCTGTAAATGCTTCCATCCAGTTTTCGCTGTAATCATGAGGTATTCTTTGTTCTCTGGGTACAGCTGGCAAGTGTATGTGGCCATGACGAGGGACTGACTAAAACGACTACATACCAGTAAAAACAAAACACTCCTCTCTACAGGGGTCAGAGGGATCACACTTTCAAACCCTGCAAGGATGTGCCCTCCCACTTGTATAGGATCTGTGCTTTCAATCATCATGTACATGATGGTGATAGCCACTTCAAACACGTAGTAGCCATAGCTCATGTCACCAAAGTCTAAGATCCCCGAGACTTGGTACACAGCATCTCCAGAGGCTGACTTGCTGAGGTCTATTAAAATGTTATGGTCATTAAGATCACCATGATTAATACCTGAAATTAGAAAAATCATGTAGAAAGTTATTTAAAATGCCAACTCATTCTCTTTCTACCTTTCTTTTTAAAACGAACTCATCTAAATAATTTGATGAGCAAGCAGACATAAAGGCACAAACTCTATTTTCTTAAAGCCATTTTCCCTGCAAAGGACACAGGCAGCGTCTTGGCTGTTTGCTCTTGCTCCTCACTGGTGCAGAGGTAAAGATGGAAACTGGAAACTTGCAAACACCCTGATGGAGAACTGCTCAAAGCCAGAGATGTTTTAAAGGGACAGAATCACACTCATATCACTATAAGAAGCAGAGACTTACATGGACCACATGGACCTTTATTTATATCTAAGCTTTAAAAAAAATCTCTGATAAGCCTGGTGTAGTGATGCACACCTTTAAAGCCAGACTCAGGAGGCAGAGGCAAATGGATCTCTCTGAGTTTAAGATCAGCCTGGTCTACACAGAGAGTTCCAGGCCAGACAGGGTGAGGGTGAGAGAGAGAGAGAGAGAAATTAAAAAATAAAAAATAAACCAGAAACTGAGAGTATTTAGAAAATATTGTAAAACTTTGCCATCCATGACCCTGCCTGTAGTCAGAGTACAGTGCACCTGGAGTTAAATGTGGTACAAGCTATGACCCAGGCATGCACAGTAGAACCATGCATCAAATTGTACTGTGTTGGGAGAAAATGAAACCCCAAACTTGTCTTTATCATAGGAAATTTCAAAAACACTGATTAAGCTACTGTCTAGAATTAAGACAGTATTATTTTGTTCACAAGCATCAAAACCCTGGGAGTCACACACCTTAAAATAACTAGGTGATACAGAATGTGTCTTTTTAACTTATAAACTTTTTTCATGAGGCAGGATCTGACTCTGTAACCCAAACTGGCCTGTATTTCATGACAATCTTTCTTTCTGCCTCAGTCCCCATGTGTAGGGCTTAGAGGTGTGGACCACCATGCTCAGCTCAATTTATATATGATTAAGTTTATCTAAATTATGCTTAATTAAAATGTATCACAGTGAGTAATACAAATGAACATTATTGCAAACCATACATTTCAAATTTTACATTTCTTAAATAGGAATATAGCATAGAATTAAGTCAAGATATATATTAGCAATGCAAGGAAAAAACAGAAAATCCACATCACAGTAGGAGACTGAAGTATGCTTTACTCAGCAATTATTAGAACAAACAGACAAAGGTGACCAATAAAAGACACGAGAAATTTCAATAATATACTTGACAAACTTGACCTAAGAGGCACATACCCCAAAATTACAGATATACTTTCATTCTAATCACAATAGACTTTTGATAAAAATGTAACAAACATCACATCATAAAGATTTAAGTATTATGAAATAAATATGAAGTCATATATATATATTCGTCCTGTTCAAACTCATAGCCCCTAACCACAGGTAGCCATTTCAATTCATAAAGATTTGAGGCTGGCGAGAAAGCTCGGGGTTATGAGCTCTGGCTGCTCTTCTAGAGGACCGAGGTTCAATTCCCATAACCCACAAGGTGGATCATAGCTGTCTGTAACTCCAGTAATAGGGGATCCAACACTCTCTCATACAGACATATATGTAGACAAAATACCAATGCACATGAAATAAAAACAAACCACTAAAAATAAAGATTGGGGGGCTAGAGAGATGGCTCAGCAGAACACTAGCTGTTCTTCCAGAGGTCCTGAGTTCAATTCCTGGCACCCACATGGTGGCTCACAACTATCTATAATGTGATCTAATGGCCTCTTCTGGCATGCAGGTGTGTGTACAGATAAAGAACTCATAAATAAATCTTTAAAGAAAAAGAAAGTTAAAAAAAAAAAGATTGAATAATGTGGAACAGCCCACTTCCTGAACTGTTGCACAAGTCATATTTCAAGTACTGACTAGCCAAATGATGACTGTTTCGCTGGACAATTTATGGAATATACAACATTTACTTTATGGAATCCTATTGGACAACAGTGATACATAGGATATTTCATTATGGGTGTTTGTTTGAGACAGAGTCTCTGTTTCCTCTCTATGTTGTCCTTGCTGTCCTAGAACTCACCATGTAGACCAGGCTGGCTTCAAATTCACAAATCCTCCTGCCTTTGCCTCCCAAGTGCTAGGATTAACGGTATATGTCACCATGCCTATCTAAAGTATGTTTCTTAGCCAAAAGGCAATTACAGCAGAAATCAGCAATGAAAAGATAACTTAAAAGTTTATCATATTGTGGAGAAATTATATTTCCCAAAAAAGTGCTTTGGATGGTAGCTGATGAAAATAGGCTTCAGAATAAGAGAGATCCAAAAATGGTAGCAGCACAAAACAAATAGAAACAAGGCAGGAGGAATAATCTAGCAGTACCTCCTTCCTTGGACTGAAGCACGCTCCTGCCATGTGTACTAGGCTGTCCTCAAATTCCCTGTCTTCCTGTCTCTGACTTCCATGTGCTGGATTGTAGTTGTATCCCCACTATCCCTAGTTGGAATAGGTTTTTGTAAAGTCTTAAGACAAACAGCATCTTCTCACAAACAGGTAAATAAACTTTAAATTTGAGTATCAGGAAACAAAGAACTGGGTATGGTGACACATGCCTTTAATCCCAGCACTGGGGAGACAGGCAGGATTACATAGCAAGACCCTTGCTACACACACACACACACACACACACACACACACACACACACACACACACA